GGCATGGACCAGGAGACTTGACTTCATGATGTTGGCTTGTCCTCTTGTTGAGACGGTTGAATCAGGGCTGCGCCTGTGCTTATCAGGAGTGTCGCTGAGGCCAAGTTTCGGATCCCCAAATTTGACAACTCTTCGAAGGAGTTCGATCAGATGTATCGACCGAGTGCACACCTGATTGGATGCCTCATCCCGGGAGTTGCAGAAATCTATTTCTTGACAGACGGGGATGTGAAGAAAGATGCTTCCACAACCCTGACATGCATCAGCCGCTCGGATACGCTTCGCATGACAGTGCAAATTGTTCGTTTAAGTTTAAGTTGCCAGGATTCCTCATGGTCCGCTTTTGCATTTCAATGTAACATTGGCATGAACTGAACTGGGCTTCCCAAGGTCGTGCATTGCAGTTGTGCAAAGAAATCCTCCGTAGCCGGGGGCTGGAAACTCCCAGCCACCTGGCCTTACAGCTGGATAATACCAGCCGAGAAAACAGAAATCGCTATATGGTCTTCTTTGCCAGCTACTTGACGTCCCAGCGCATCTTCAGGAGCATCGACATATTATTTTATAGGGTAGGCCACACCCACAACGAGCTTGATAGAAGATTCGCTGTAATCGGATCTCACTTGGCACGGGCAACAGTCCTCGAAACACTCGAGGACCGGTGTTTGGCATGTGTTGGACCTGGGAATAAATGAAGCTCATGAGTTACCTTTGTGCGGGCCCCGGTGTGAGGACTTCCGAGAGCGGATCCTCCAGATTGTGCCTACTGGACGGCGTGAGATCCACGTGGAGATTCTCCAGTCAACTTGGGACTGGAAAGCTTTCTTCGAGCCGTTGACAGTTAACTGCTCGGGGCTGACGATCACGGAGCAGGAGGAGTGTGTCTCACATGGTTTCCGCTTCATGCGCCGCTCTGACATGTCCGAGTACAAGGGGGCGGCACCTCAGCTACTTTAACTCTGACAATTCCATAGTTCATGTCAGTGACTGTCACCTAACAATATGTGCACTCACTATAGGAGAACTGGAAACTGGTGGAACTTCGTGATGATGAGGACCACTTGGAATGCTGGCGTGTGGTGTCTAGTGAATAGTGTAGTTTGTCCATGATCAGTACAATGCCTCGAGCCTCCACCAGGAGACGAATCAGGATGCAAGGGACATCGTGATGTTGGTGAAGCAGTTTATGTCAGATCAACATTTGGTTCAGTCGCTCGTTTGCATGCCACACGACCAGGCAGCAAAGGTCCCTCTGTCCGGGCCAAGTGTCAAGGCAGCCAGGAACACAATGGCGCCCAAAATGATTCTAGAGTATAAGAAGACCGCAACAGCCGTGGAGAAGGCGCCCTGGAGCATGCAAAATGCAGCACGGTATCTCCGTGAGTGGTGCAGCCGCAGTGAGTTGCAGCTGGAGGCAGGTGAGCCGCCTAGCTTCATTTTCGAGCCGATGAAGGATGCTGTTAGCGGAGCTGCGCAGCACAAGGAGCTACTTGCCTTTGCGCCATCGCCGCCGAAGCCAGTAGTGATTCTGGAGCGTCCGCAAGGCGGCCGCAAGAAGCGTAAACGGGATCACGTTCAAGCAGAAGCAGCAGCTGCTGCAGAGCCTGAATCAGCTGAAGCTGCTGTGGAGCATCGAGCAGAGGCTGCAGCAGAGGCTGCAGCAGAGGCAGCAGTCATTCCTGGTCCTGTGGCTGGAAATCATGAGGCGGGCGCAGTGCCCGAAGCGAAGGCAAAAGCGAAAGCAAAGTCAACGCCCAAGGCAGCAGCCGCGAAGGCAAAATCAAAGTCGGCCCCCAAGGCGGTGGCCAAGGCAAAATGCAAGGCGAAAGCGGCCTCGAAGGCAAAAGCCAAGGCTAAAGCTCTGCCTAAAGCCCCTGGCCCGGCACTAGTACTGCCTGTATTCTGCTTGGTCGTGTCGAGTGGCCTTGTGTGTTAGTCCAGTATTATTAGAGTGACTAAGCTGTCTAATTTTCTAGTTGCCGGCAGTCAGTGAATTGAGTCCAGGATAACAGAGTCAATCGTAGTTCCGATGCTTCAGCTTGGGCTTCCATGCTGTCATTCCTGAGGCTGGTGCTTCGAATCGGCAGCAGCCACAAACACAGCTGGGGTGCTCGAAATGCCGATATATTGCCGTGGGATGCGGCCGCTGCAGGCCACGCTTTGCAAGCTTCCAGCAGCAGCAGGGGCAGCAAGGCTAAGTGTCAACAAATCAGCAGGAGCAGGCAATCATTTTGCAAGTTGCACATACTCAGTCTGGCAGGCTATTTTTGGTTCCGGCATCACTCAGTCAGTGTCTGTGATGGACAGGGCTTCAGTCGATACATTCCAGACATAACATCCTAGTCTCTCTTTACAATGCAAGGCGAATGCAAGAATTCTTCGTGTGAGCATACTTTGCATTGCAAGCCGGATTTTGGGATGCCTGGCCAGCAGTGTGCAATGGATTTAGAGCTCATTTTCCATGCAGCGTCATGCTGCGACCATTCTGAACCGACATCATCATTTCAGATTCAAGCTTCAGGGCTGACACTAGACTGGCCGCAAGTGTCTGCAGCTGTCCTGCGCAAGGGCAGAATTACAGAAACGGTGTGCACAAGCAGGAAAAGAAATCATTGACTGACTCCAGGCTGTGACTGTGTCAGCACCCTAGTGTCGTTTGCAAGTCGACATCATTTTGGCGTGGCTGAATGGATGTGATTGCGTAGTTTTGGGTTCCCTGAGCTCGGGCATCCCCAGTGTCTTCTGGGTGCTCCTTGCTTCCAGGTAGCACCAAGTCTTAGCTTTATTTGCACCTGTTTTATGTGAATGAGGATCATCATGACATTATTATGATTTCTTACTTTGTCAAGGAGCCTGTCTCAGCCACGACATCATGGCAACGGATGTCCGGGACTTAATGTCGATAATAGTACATTGACTACGCAGTGCCATCCCATGTCTTCAACATTGGACATCTTGAACTTGAGGATGAATCATGGGGATTACCGCCTGGCAGTGATGACAGTGGGGCTGCTTTTGAGGCCAGACAGACTGAAAGATTATCATGCTGACTGTCACGTCGTCTATTGCCTGTTCTTCAGATGTGCCGAGGACTTCATGATGATGATAGATCCGGGACTGAATGATTTTGATTTGTCAGAGGAGAATTGTCGGCAAAGCTAGCTTCAAGTGCAGCAGATGAGACCATGCTTCCAGTGACCAAATGAGCAATCAGAGGAGGGTGGTATGCTTCTCCCTGCAAGTCCTGATCCCATGCCAGAGATGCCAGAGGATGTGGCTGGGCCTGAAGTGTTTGAGTGGGCTAGCAAGACGAAGCTTGCGTTGCTATTTAATAATTGTCATGACGAATTCGAGGATCTTCCTTCGCCAGACAGGGGGTATGAAACTGTCATGGTTCTGGCGCCTGTGGCTGACGAGGATGACGCAGGCAACTGGCCTGAGTTGCCTCCTGGCGATGATGATGATGATGATGACGTCTGGGGTGACTTCTCAGTCGCTGACAGGTCAGGCTCCGGGCAAGGCAAGCGCAGGAGAAGAAGGTCGAAATCAGCTGCAGAGCAGCCGCCGGCACTAGTCTTTCGATGCCCGGAGATCCCAGCTGTGAAGCAGCTCGTGCTTGAAGTGTTTTCCCAACCGCGCGTCACGAAAATGGCACAGGATATGGGGTACACTGCGGATTTTGCTTTCGACATTGTCTACAATGGGTGGGATGCATTGAAAGCTGGGGACCGCTCTTCCCTGCTGAATTTCATCCTGGCTACACGACCCCGATTGACCATATTGTCCCCGCCATGTACAATGTTCAGTGATTTGATGAGGTATCCTGTCTTCAGTTGAATCTTAGCGCATCCTCTGTGAACACAATGAGTGGCTTTATGCGCAGAGCCAGGAATTACCATGTGTCTTTCATTGCGAGCTGAGGCTTTGGAATGCTAGCAAGATGGACCCAGACGTCTATCAGCAGAGGATGTCAGAGGCCGTGATCATGTTTGAGTATGCCCTCGACCTGTGTATGCATTTGCATGAAGCCAAACTGAGCTTCGCTTTGGAGCACCCATGCTCAGCCTCATCTTGGCAGCTTGAGAAGTTTCGAACATGTTTGGACAAGGTGAGCATGAAAATGGCTCTATTTTCGTTTGACCAATGCTCTGTTGGCCTCCTGAGTCCAGACGGACAAAGAAAGCTGAAGAAGAAGACCAGAATTTTCAGCAATGCAGATTGTGTGGCCAGGGAATTGTCTCTCTGCAAGTGCACCTGTGCTCCTGAGGAGCACTTGAAAATTCGCGGCAGCCAACATGGAGTTCGAGTTTCTAGGCTTGCCCAGGTGTACCCACCTGAGTTCTGCAGGAAGCTAGTTCGTTGTGCCCTCAGCTGCTGAAGGGTTCGCTGAGGCGCTTGAGACAAGAGCCAAATCCTTGTATGTGGCACAGGAAAATATTCAAAGCATCTCCTGAAATTTTCGAAGCATTTCAGGTCTGACTTCGGTTTGTAAAAAAAATAGAATTTCAAATTCTACGCATCTAAGGGTCTGCTTTACAACATATGGAGTTACTTTGAAAAATTTTTTTTCAAAGCTTCTCCCTAGGGG